ACCCCGCCTGCGCTAACGGGATACGCTGGCGCAGCACCAGTGAAGGGTGACAGACAAGAATGAAAATAGGCTAATTAGCCCATCATGATGAATTCATCAGGAATTAACCATGATAGTTTCCAGGGAGTACCGCGAGGAGGTCGACCTGGTTGGGTATATTGCTAGCAATGGGATTCTCAGTCTCCATTACTAACAATACCTTTCCCCCCTCTGTAACGGTGTTGCATACGTCTACAGCTCGCGCTCAGCAGGCCGAGGCGCGCAGTCAAACTAGCGCACGCGTTACAGCTGCTTAAGATTAAGGGTCCCGAATGGTCTCGAAACTAGTCCAAACTCTTTCGACCAAATTACACGTAAATTAACCTGGTTGTTATTATATTAAAATATTATCTAAAATTATATTAATGAATTTCCACAAATTTTGACTGATCGCTAAATTATTAAAGAGTGGCTCTTAAGAGGAATTATAAACAAAGTTAAATAAGCAATCCAAATTAATACTATTACTTGAAATACCAATGATGTATTACTAAGAAATTACTAACTTTTCAATAACAATTGTTAGTTAATGCGAATTATGACCGAGGCGTTGGCATGAATTAAAGTTCTAAGCTTCAAAAAGGATCTAAATTCATTGTATTTTCTGTTAAGTAATAACTTCTTTCAATCTGAATGGATTTTAATCTGGATAGATCTATCTATTTATCTTCAACTCCCTTCTGTATATCTTCAAGTCAACTCCGAGTCTGCCTGTGTAAAGAGAGAATACTATTTAACGGTTTCTTTTTAATCCTATTTAAATGTCGTGACTGAAGAAAATAAATGTACAACATTTCTATTACTCTTAATTTGGTATATACACAGCTTGTTAAAGGCCTAGTACAAATAAGCATATTTAGGGGGTTATTTTTTAATATAAAAATATATTTAAGTATTTCTGTTAATTGTCTAGTACTATGACCGTAGCTTGGGGGGGGGGGGGAGGGGCATTGATGGGCAATGTCCTACCTTAAAAGGCCCGATGAAGAAGGCCCCAAGTAAATTAGTAAAATTCGCTTTTTCGAAGTCAGTTAATTATGGCTTCTACTCTACCAAGAAGTTCTTTTGCCCTACCTTAAACATGGGTCTAGCTACGACCCTGTCTAGTACCAATAGTACAGATTCTGCTTATATGATTTAAACTAGATGGCGCTGTGATAATATATCCAGCTGTAAAAAGTATCTATTCCTAATAATTAATTTACTTTTATTAAAGTTTACCACTGCACAAAAAGCAATCTGTGACCAATTGAGTCACGGATGTTTTCCAATTTTATTTTTTTATATTTTGACAAATATCACAAAGGTTTCATTCATTCATTTTATAGGCTTTTACCGACATGCCGAATCAATTTTCCTCTATATAAACTTTACAGTTATTGCTAACCGTTTTATTGGAATCTATAAACCAAAACAAAGGTTCGTGGAATGTACGAAACGTGACAAGTGACAACCCTAAAAAGAGGATGAACTGAGAAATAAATGAAGGCAGTAAATTGGTACGGATGTCGCTACTCTTTGTGTTCTTTCCAGAATGAATCATTAAAAATGAATCTTGATAATTCGGTGTTTATTGTAATGTCTTCTAAGTATATAATTTTAAGTAACAGACAAATTATTATAATGATTGCTGAGAAATTACCCTTTTAGGGTACCATAGCCAAATGGTATAAACGGTACCCTTATTTTTACGGTACCATTATTTTTTTTTATGCAACTCGGAATGGCAAACAAGCTGACGGCTTACTTGATGGAAGTTGGTAACCGTTGTCTGTCACTTAATGGGGTCTAAAGCGTTTCAAGGTCGGAAATATTATTTGGGATTCGAAGGACGTATGCAATTTTTTTAAATTATTTATTATATCAGCTTTTCCACTACTGAACATAGGCCTTTACCATAAAGGGAGTCTTGTCAGTAGTTACCACTGTGGGTTGGCAGCAATAGTTAGGCTTAAGTGATCTTTTAAGAGGGAATAATCTTTTAAGAAGCCTATCTCTCGATCATTAAGTTTCCTTAGTCGCCTCTTAATACACCTACGGGAAGGGAAGGGCTAGTGTATTCTATACAGGAACTTGGCGGCGTTATAGGAACTTGTAATTACTTCTCTATTCCAAATTGCTTTTGGGATGTAGGACATAGGCTACTTCCTATCCCGGTCAATATATACTTGTAGGCTACCAACCTCTTTCAAACCTATATAGTTACAGAAAAATAAATAGTGACGTTCTTGACAATCTTCTTGTCTTAGCAATTTTACCGAACAATATTTTGTATCGCGACTTATTATATCTGGAATTATTTACTGTAAATATTATTAATTATACAATCTCGTACTAAATCTTTCTTTCTCTCACTCCTTCTGAATCTATATATAAATATCATCAAGCTCACGTCTCTACACATCTCTACATACTTAAATATCCTGCGTCAGGGGTGTTCTTCTCTAGAAATCTGTCCGATTCTAGATTAAGTGCATACGGGTATGCGATCCCGGCCTCCCGAGCCCACATAAATCCCTTATTCCTCTCATTTACTAATTTCCTTTAGACATTTCCAACGTTCCCTTGCTTTTTTCCTCAATCCTTTCCTCCAAATCGTAGCTAGCGGAAACCACTAACAAATGCATTCCCAAAGTGGGTTGACGTCAGGCAGGCGGCTGGTCGTAAAACTGTAAGTCAAATCCTTTAGTTATATGGATAAAACCATATTAAGCCGACCCCAAATATGAATAGGAAGATGATGATCCTGGATACGCGGATGAAGACGCGTGTAAATAATAGTTATAATAACTCATAACTAAGCGACTCTTTTAGAGGATCCACAGAATTCATCAAGCAAATTACCAGCATAATGATTCCCTTTTATGTTACATAATTAAGTTAACCGCAATATAACGCCCTGTGAATTCTCTTTATATTTACCGTAATGATATTAAAAGCCGACATTACAGGAACACGCTGTATAAAAATGTACTCTATAAACATAGTGTTCATAGTACTAGTATATATATAATAGTTTTACCACTATTTGTTTATTGGTGATAATGGAATGGTAACCCCGCCTGCGCTAACGGTATACGCGAGCGGAGCACCAGTGGGGTATGATACGCAAGAATGAAAAGGCAGGTCAGTTAGCCCATCCAGACATCATTTGTATTCATCATATGGTCATATGGAGATTTTGTACAAAAGTCAATTGCTTGGGTACCTCTGTCCCATTCCTGTTTCAACCGTGAAGCAGTTGTATTTGCATGGCTATGTTTCGGTTTGGGTGGGATATGGCGTGAATTTACTGGGTACAGAGGAATAACACCTGAGTCCTCAGGAATGGCAACGCATGGGGGGTATCATGGGCGAAACAGTATACTCTGTTATTTCCATGGTACTGCTCATGTCTATAGGCGACGGTTACCACTTTACATCAGATGGGCCGTCAGCTTGTTTGCCATTCTAAGTTGTATAAAAAAATACTTACTGCAAAAGCGTCTATTTGGGCACCTCTATTCCATTCGCGTTTCTGCTGTGTATATATCTATGTTTCAGTTTGATGTGTAGGATATGGCAATAAAATTACAGGGTACAGAGACATAACACCTTAGTCCTCGTGAATGGCAAAGCATGAGGGGTATCATAAACGACACAGTATATTTACTTTTTTATGCCCATGGTGCTGTTCATGTTTATAGGCGACGGTTACCACTTTACATCAGATGGGCAGTCAGCCTGTGTGCCATTCAAAGTTGCATAAAAAGAAACCTTTTCACACGAAAAATACTGAATGGATTTGAATGAAATTTAATACTCGGATAGGTTATATTCTGAAATAGCAACAATATAAAATAATATAAAAAATATATATATAAAAAAATGCGAAATTGAGTTTTATTTTAATAGAGTTATTTTATTTTATTTTGCTACCATTAGTATATGAGTGACTGCCGTCACTTATATATTAATTATCAATCTCCGACTGTCATTTTGTTCACGCACCTTTTGCGACGCGTGTTTCACCTTTAAACGAAACATCTTTAGGCTAATTGTTAGATCGCTACTCGGAGTCTATTATTAATCGTTCGGCACCCAAATTGCAAAACAAAGTGAGTTCAATCAATATATCCCAGCCACGCGGACGAAGCCACGAGTAAAAGCTAGTTAACAATGTTCCCGTATACGCTGTCTAAAATAACTAACTCAACGCGAAGCTAGCTGGAGCGTAATATGAGGTAATAATAAAATCGCTCCTGTCACGAAGGGAAAATTAATTCACCTACTTATTGTCTTTCATGTTTGTTCTCTGTTGTTTTGCTGGAGCATTGACAAACATGCGAACTTTGTTGGTTTAATTACTCTATCTGGATGTTTAGCTGAACATAATGTTACGGATGAGCATCGTGATATTAAATATGTACTTTACATCTATTTTACATTGTTGTGAATATTTTGATTAATTATTGCATCTATTATCGAATCGTAGTCTTATATTACCAGAGGGAGACTTTGTACAAAAGTCGATTGCTTGCGTATCTCTGTCCCATTCGTGTTTCTACAGTGAAGCAGTTGTGTTTGCTTGGCTGTGTTTCGGTTTGAAGGGTTGGATATGGCGTGAATTTACTGGGTACAGAGGAACAACACCCGAGTCCTCAGGAATGGCAACGCATGGGGGGTATCATGGGCGCAACAGTATACTCTGTTATGTACATGGTACTGCTCATATCTATAGGCGACGGTTACTACTTTCCATCAGATGGGCCGTCAGCTTGTTTGCCATTATAAGTTGTATAAAAAAAAACCTTATAGCTTATTAATGGCTTAACTAATCACTATGATATTCGGTATACACGTATTATATGGGATGGAGAAGTATATATATAGGATGTAAGATTTTTATTACAGTCAGAAAACATATCCTCGTCACTTGGACAAAGTCGGGGGTAAAAGCTAGTATGAAATAAAAATCAAAATTGTACAAAAAATATAACATGTATTATAACAACAACAACAACACAATAATAAATAAATCAACTACAACATGAAGACAGTTGAAAATGACTTAAAATTAATCAACAATATTTACAAGGCACGGTTAATAGCACAGCACACACATACATACGAACAATCATACAACCAATACCAAATCAGACCTTAATGGTCTTTATGATGGTGTATGGTCTTATAGATGGGAATCTTGACGGGGTAAGGCTGAGGCACGTGAACTGTGACCGTCTTCTCCACCTTTATTGGCACGTGTTTCTCCACTGGGTAAGGCACGTGCTTCACCACAGGGTAAGGGACAACCTTCTCAATGGGAATCGAAATTTCAGTTTCAACCGGAACTGGGACAGGCTTGTTGACTGGCACTTTTACGGGGTACGGCTGAGGTACACCCACGAGAATAGGTTTTGGTACGTTCACGTGGATTGGTTTGTGGATGGGGACAGTAATATGTTTGTACAAGGGTACAGTCACTGGACTTTCAACATCGACGTGTTCGCCAACAGGGATAGCTTGCTCGCCGTGACCGCCGTCGCCGAAGTCATGGCCGCCATCTTGAAGGACGAAACCTTGACCATGATCGCCGGAGTCACCGCCATGACCGCCAAAACCAGCATCGCCGTGATCGCCACCGTCCTGACCACCGATATCACCTCCATAGCTCGCAAAGCTCTGTCCTCCATGTCCAAAACCTTGGCCTCCGTGCCCGAAACCTTGTCCTGCATCTCCGAAACTTTGGCCTCCGTGTCCAAAACCTCCTCCTAGATCATGAGCCGCTTGTAAATAAGAGTCCCCTCCTCCTAACCCGTGACCTCCGAAAGAAGATACATCTCCGTGACCTTCAAGACCCTGCGAGCCGATCCCCTCATGTCCAGCTAATGATTGGCCACCAGAGAAGTCGTGTCCTCCAGATCCTTGAGTCAATGCCAACGTGTAGTCTTGTCCACCATGTCCTCCTCCTAAATCGTGTCCACCCCCTAAATCATGTCCTCCACTAGATGGCGCGTAATTGTAGCCCCCTGAAGAGCCTCCTTCAAGTCCACCGTCGTGACCTGACAATCCATTTAAGCCATGCCATCCGCCCGATTCAATAACACCGGCCTTGCAACTGGCCACTGCCAACAACAAACAAACCTGTAAAGAAAGAAAAACTATTGTCAGTACTTAGTATATATCAATTAATATATAGTATATATGTAGGATAAAACCGCCCCCCCCCCAACGAGGGGAAGGAATTGTTAGTAATGCGGACTATCAGTCCTATTGTTAGCAATACGCCTTTAATGTCGACCTCCACGTGGTTCCCCCTGGTAACCGTCGTGCTGAATTCCTGGTGTATTCATCACGATAGGCAGGCGGGGTTACCATTCCATTATCATCAATTAAACCCCTCGCCTCACTAGATGGAGTGATGACAACAAATGCATTGCAAGGAATCAGTGGATGCAGGTGGCTCAGGAGCGTTCCTTACGGCAGTCTATGGGGAGCCCTATGTTTAGCAATGGATAGACAATGGCTGAGAAGATGATGATGATGAATACATATCAGTAAATATAAATAGAGTACTAGATATTTTCCAAAGACAGTGATGATACTGTAAACGAAAAATATTGGATATTTTGTACATATACCAAATTTTTTTTATACAACTTAGAATGGCAAACAAGCTGACGGCCCACCTGTTGGAAAGTGGTAACCGTCGCCTATAGACATGAGCAATGATGGACATAACAGAGCATACTGTTTCGCCCATGATACCTCCCATGCGTTGCCATTCCTGAGGACTCGGATATTATCACTCTGTACCCTGTAAATTCACGTCATATCCCACCCTTCAAACCGAAACACAGCCATGCATACCAAATAAATAAGTATGTATATTATAATATTTATTAGTCAATAATAATAGTATAATATTTGACTTATAATAAGTAACATAGAGTGATATTTAATAGTCTTTTTGTTTGTTAATTAAAATTTTGGCAATCTATAGTATGAGAAAGAAACACAAAATTAATTTACAATGAAAAAATAAATGGACTGAAAACCGCTATTCTTCATTACACGATCTCATCGTGTTCTTATTATGAAATACGAAGAAAATAAAACACATTGTTGCGAAAATCACAATTTATAATTGGCTATTATCGGAGGCGAGTGAACGAAACGGCGAGTACTCGTAAAAATAAAAATAAAAACTAACCATTCACTTTCGGTTGTTTTTTTTTTTATTATTTAAAATTTGTGTAACCACAGAATTCTCTTACATTGTATACAGCTTTGAGTATTTGATGATATTATACATCTAGATAGAGCTTCTAGTAAAAAAAGTCCAAAAAAAGTCTCTCAATTGTTGGGTGACGCATTGGTTATTCATATTGTTCAAAAGTCTGATATTGTAGTATTGAAAACTGTGTTAAAAATAAATAAATAAAATAACAGATTATGTAATAAAAGATTTATACAAATTTATATCTTACGAAATGAACTTTATTTAAAAAAAAATAGGCCTTTTTTGCCGAAGCATTTTTGTGATTTTTTTTACTACAAGGTGTAAACGAGCGAGGAAATATGCTTTTTTCTTGAAGATTATGTCTTATCGTATTTCTAAATATTTTATTTAGATGTTAATAATCTAAGCTTTAAATATTAATTAATGATAAACATAGTAAAATAAATAGTAGAAATATGTATTAATATAATATTCTATCTGTGAAATACGAATCATGTTTGATTACTTAATATCGTTGAATAATCGATATGAATATCCGACTCGGATGTTATTATGTTGATACAGGAATCGTTCGGTTCATCACTAGTCTGGTCTTTACAAGTACAACTATGTCAATACGGAAATGATCGGTAGTTTATGTATTGCTTTATTGCACTTTCGTCCGACTCGATTGGAATAGTAGTTTATCAAATACTAATACAGAGTTCATATGTAAAATTTTATTCTAAAATTAAACTGACCTAACCATAGTCAATTTATGTAATTTAAAACTGGCCACCTCTATTAAAAAAGAATGTAATACTGGCCAGTTACATATTAATTAAAATTAAACAAATACGGAATTTGAAGTATAACCTATAACAAGTTTTTGAAAGAAGAACACACATGTTACCGTTGGTTACTAACGATGCCACTTCCTTTCACCTTTTATAGTTCCGTATGAAAATTTATACTTAATTAAATTCTTTCAAGTTTCAATGAGCATTTTAAAATTTTTATATTTATTTGTTACCCGCGAATTTGTTTGCTGGACAAGGATAAAAAGCCTATATCATAAAACAGCAAAACAGACAAACAATAATAAATTAATATAAATATTTATAATAATATATCCTTGACCTCCCTATACGACATGACACCTAGTGTTTTTTTTATCTGTCCTATGTAGTTATTCCTCGGTCTTCCTCTTCCTCTTTTGCCCTCTATTTTTCCTTCTACTATGCTCTTAAAAAATCGTCATGTGGTATAAGGTGGCCCAGCATTTTGCCTCTTCTATTCTCTATTATTTTAATTAATGTTCTTTTCTCCTTCACTTTTTTCAGGACTTCCAAAAGTAAAACTTCCTTAAGTTACAAAGAGAAGGAAGTTATAATATATAGTGCAAGCAATTTCATTTCTCAAAAATATATAATTCTCTACGGAACCAACCACACTTTGCCAACGTATCGCACTAGATTAATGATATTAAATACATTCACCGGTTTGTGTTGATTGACAAAAATTGTAATACAAACATGAGAATCCGTTCTCCTACCGACAAGTGAAGGGAGCGTCCACTTTCAGAAATAATTGAACACGTAAACCAATTTCGAGAAGTTTCCATTTTAGATTTTAATTCGACGGTGATGAAAAACGAAATAATATTGTATAAGTGAATAATTACAACAGCTGATTTTATTTTTTAATTTTTTACTCAATTATTTTTTATTGCGTATTAATTCAAATACATAGATGCGAAAGTAAATTTATTTATTTAATATTCTTTGACAGTTGAATGAAATAATTTGTATGGAAAAACATGCGCATATTGATGTGTCGAATCGATAAAGTATTATTATTTAAACTTAATGAGAGCATTTAAACTTCGAGAGCATCGTACGTAAGAACTCACCTACTATATGAACCCTCAGTTTAATCCTGGTAATGGGCTTCGTAGACGGTCAAGCTGCTTTAATCAAGCATACATTTATCCTGCTTGTAGAAGAGAAACAGAGCTGCTTTTTATTCTTTGTCTTACCAACAGGAATAGGTGCGTACTTGACTTAAGCCGCTTAACCGTCTATAGGAACTTTATAAAATAAAAAAGTATTCTAATTTTAAATTCACAACTAAGTCTCTGCATCTTTATCGAATTTGCCTAACACAGTATGAAGAAGTCTTAGATAGAGTGTCTGCATACAAATGCATCAAGAAAAGCGGGTTAACTTTTTCATACAATTTTGCGTGGTAAATAGTTATGAGTGATTCCTTTAAACTTCTATATTTATTTTGTCTTGTAAATTCTGCACCTTTTTGATGCGCAAAAACTCATTTTATTCATTAATTAGTTAAATATAGATAGATTAAGATACATTGTGTGTGTAAGTGTGTGTTAGCTGACAAACATGGAGCCGTTTTTGAGACTCGATGCTCTATCTATATAATCTAAGGAAGAAATATATGAAGACTCCTAACACTGTGGTACTGATTTTGCAATGCACAATTAACTCATTCTTCTCTCGTACTTTGTTTATTATAACTTCAATAATTGAGATCGTTGTTAGACCTAGTTCGTTACTTAACTTTATAGTATCTAAGCCAGATTTCCGGGCCACTCACGCTGGTCTGCTGGTTGACGTAATCGACTAATTTTATAGAGCAAATTCCACTGTCACGCTTCAATCTCAATACGTCAATAGCTGCACTGGAATATTTATTTTATTTTGTGGAACATAATTGACAGCCATTGTTAGGTGACTGCTGGCTGAGTTCTTTTACCGACAGCAAAAAATGAGGAAGTTGTATTATGTTTGGCGCGTATCTTTTTATTAGATATATAATATGTCGGTATACCGATTTCACCGAGTTATAAAAACTATTTGGAAATCTAATTATAAAAAACATATAATTATATACATTGTAATAATATGGGCACATGTTTTATATTTTTGCTCAACTCATATGATTCATTTTACGATAAATTAAAATAAATTACGATTTAGAAATAAAAATTCCTAATATTTCGTACAAAAATAACGTTTTATGGAAATAAACCTATTTGATAAAAATAATTGTAAGTGAATAAAAAATAAAGCATTGTGGCATTCGTGATAAAATATAAAAACCAATTTAATTGACGTGACAAATTACTTTAAACTAGATATGAAGTATAAATGAAAGATGATTATTCAAATAAAAGCTTCTTTCATTCTTTAAATAAGTCACTTCTATATTTAAAATTGTTTGTTCCTTATTTAAAATTGTTGAATAATTCGAATTAGATAACGTCATTTTAACGTTGACATTGTCAACGAGTTAAAAAGTTCAATGGCGGGACCTACTTCAATTGTTTTTGTCCGTCTGTCCATTGAGACGTTTTTATTGCCAAATTAATAGAACACGGAAATTGCGACAAATCGCAATTGGATAAGTTACATAGTTCGACGACCTCCTTCTACTTTTATTATATTATATTGTAGCTTTAGTTCGAAACTTACACGTGTGGTTTTTTAAAAAGCTAAATTCATTTCTTATTACGTATTAAGAAGAAATATACCTAGTATATATATTTTACCTACACTAGTCTTTTAGGAACAGAAAAATAAATGTAGATGGGTATTAAGGTTTTGTAAATAGTTAATTAAAGAAACTTTTATATACCGTAGACTGAGACACGAGTATTTTTTATCTTTTTTTTATATTTTTGATGTCTATGTTAATGTTTTAAGGTTTTTAATAAATGAAAATTAAATACGGAGAGAATGAGGAGAGAGTAGGTTAGTTGACCCATCGTGACAAATTTTATTATTTAACGATGGTTTCCAGGGAGAATAGCGTGGAAGGTGGCCTGATAGGGTATATTGCTAGCAATGGGGCACTTAGACCCCATTACTAACAATTCCTTTCCCCTTAAAGTTTTTAG